ACCAGCTATAAGTGGTGTCCAACATTGGGCACTAATATCCAAGTGTAAAGCAGCTTGTACACCACCTGACAGGAGATTAGACAGAAATACTTCTGTAAAACAGGCTCAGCAACTTCCCAGAGCTGGGGCAGGTAAATGTGGCTCCCAACCCATGCCTATGGGCATAAGGCTCAGCTCTCATTGGACCCAAGAGGGACAGAGATAGCCACCAGCACCAGCTGAGCTTTAAAAGGAGTTTGTAGACACACAAGGGCTTTGCAACATTTTCCCAGAGCTATAGTGCACAGAAAGCCAGGTCCAGACTGAGAAATCCTCTGAACATGTACAGTATGCTTTAAAATGTGCTTAGGGGATAAGAAAGAAAAAAAATGGGTAAAGACAGTCATAGAAACAATAGTTTGAATAAAGTAATATAAAAAATAAGCTACATAAGGATGGAAAATATTATATAGGATGTTTGGATTCTATATATTGCTTTATTAACTTTATGTTTTTAAATGCTAATTAATAAAAAACAACAGCTGTGGAGAGACATTGGATAGTAAAAAAATACTAAATTAAACCTGCCTATATATTTTAAGTATGTCTTAACTTCAGAATGAAAGTTAGGGAATGTGTTGCATTGGGGGCAAGGTTATGCCTTGCTTCCACAGGAAACAAAAGCTAAGGATTCCCTCAGAATTAATAAAGGTCAGAAAATCTTGGTTTCAGACATGAGGAAACCAAGAACTTCAAGACAGGACACATATATGCTGATCCCTCTATATAGGAACACCTCTGAGACTGGATGAAACATGATAAATCTTGTTGGCTATAGAGTCCTCATTATTACATACTATCCTTGCTTATGACATGGATGGAGATTTATATTACAGTTTGGTTATGCAGTCCAAATGGACTTATAAAGTTGGTAGATGCCTTTCACCTGCTCAAATATAAAACGGAAAATCTTATTTACCTGATTTGTGCACACTGCACATCCCATACTTGTGTTAATGCAGATAAGTATGTTACTTTTAACAGTTTGTGTGTTTTCAGAAAAAAGAACCAGACACCAATGAAGACAAGTAGCCCAGGTGACTCAGCCTTTCAGAATGCCTCTGTTGCAGTTTCCTCAAAAACCTTCATCCACAACAACTTCAAAGCTTCTAGTTGAGATGGTCCAGCCTCACGGACTACTCCAGCCAGGACTCCAGATAAGGGCTGCAGTTTCCTGCCATACAGAGACTGGACAACAAATGATACAGCTAGCTCTCCCAGGAATTGGCCATTATCCTAATTTTCTTAGGTTCCCCTAAAGGTACTATTGCCTCCAGACAATAAGAAGTAATTTTAAGAACATGATGCCCACCAGGTGGTGGTGGCACATGCCTTTAATGCCAGCACTTGGGAGGCAGAGGCAGGTGGATCTCTGTGAGTTCAAGACCAACCTGGGCTACAGAGCCCAGGACAGGCTCCAAAGCTACACAGAGAAACCCTGTCTCAAAAAGCCAAAAAAAATGAACATGATGCCCACATTCCTAAGAGGTGGGATGGATATTTTTTGGTTGTTCAATGGGTTATGATGTTTGTCATTGTTTAGGGGAGTTAGTTGCAAGTTGTTATTGGTCCTGGTCAGGGAGGAAACAAAGAAAGGAAGTTGAATTAAGAGATTTTTTTCTCTCTTTTTCTTTCCCCTATTCTTCTTTCTCTCCTATATCTAGTAAAATTTTTGTTATAGCATAATATATATACATACATACATACGTTTCTATTCTTGTTTAAGGTATTGTACCTATGTAGCTCATTTAAAAATGGAATGTAAAGTCTTATCCTTGAAAGTTATTATTATAAACTGTTTATGATAATTAAGAAATGCAGGTTAGTAATTAGTTGCCCATAACAATCAAACTTGTTATGTTAGTAATGTTTTCAAGGTCAAACAGAGATATATTTTAGATAGATAAGTGTTCTTCAAACACTTCAGAGATCTACAGAATATGTCATTTAAGATGTTGTAATAACATAAGGCTTTTCATGACAGTGAGACACATCTGCTCCTGGAAGCACCAATCTACCTCAGAGAAGATGATGGACATTGTAGAACCTCCATATAGAGTTTGCTTTCAACATGGCAAAGCTAGCTAGCCACTGGGCAAGAAACTGCCCTTGGAACAACTACTGACAGTATGTTATTCAAATTGGACAAGCAGGACACAAAGTAAGTCAACCACTGAACTTTGCCAAGACAAGGTAGGCTCGTCCTTCAAAAGTTCTACTTCACAGAAAAGTCTGACATGGGAAAAAGCAGACAGGCATGTGCTGAAACTGTAGCAGAGAGCATTACATCCTAATCTGGAGACAACAGGCAGAGAGAAAGAGGGAGAGAGAGAGAGAGAGAGAGAGAGAGAGAGAGAGAGAGAGAGAGAGAGAGAATGGGCCTAGTATGAGCTTCTGAAACCTCAAAGCCCACTCCCAGTGACAAGCTTCCTCTAACAAGGACATACCTACTCCAACAAAGCCAGGCTTCCTGATCCTTCCAAACATTCTCAATAGTGACTGAGCATTCAGTTACAAGCGCCTATGGGGACATTCTCATTCAAACTACCACAACTGGGTTCACCCTCCTTTTCTGACCAAACTGCACAATTGTCTTATCTTTCTACTTTCTGTCATAATTCTGGCTAAAAGTAAGCAATGTCCTAACACAGCCTGGATGCTATGCTGTCTTGAAATTTCATCTGTCAAACAAATTAGTCCATTATTTAAAATTCAGCCTCACTTAAACTTTCAGGACATAGACTTAATATACCCATATGCTTTGCCAGAATCTAACATGAATGGCATCTAGTCCAGTTCCCAATAAAGTCCCTGTTCTCTAAAACCTCAAAGGCTGGACTTTATTGCCCATGTTCCTACCAGCATTCTGGTCTTCTGTTCTCCCACCAGAGTGGCCCATTAAGCTGTACACACAGCTTTATAAAGCTTCTTTAACTTGTAGCTCCAAACTCTTCCACATTTCCCCACAAACCAGATTCAAAGGCCTAGAAGTCACATAACCACATGACCAAGGCAACTTATAAAAGAAAGCATTTAATTGGGGACTGGCTTACATTTTCTGAGGGTTAGTCCATGATTACCAGGGCAGGAAGCATGGCAGCAGACAGTCAGACATGGTACTGGAGAAGTAGCTGAGAGCTCACATCTAATGTGCAAATTGTAGGGAGAGGGGTTTGGGGAGACTGAGCCTAGCATAGGCTTTTAAAACCTCAAAGCCCACCTCCAGTGACACACCTATTCCAACAAGGCCACACCTCCTAATCCTTCCTAAACAGTTCCACTAACTGAGGACCAGGCATTCAAACACATGAGCCTAAGGGGCCGTTCTCATTCAAACCGCCACACTATGCTAATGCAATTTTGAAATAATGAATGAGAAAATTAAGTGGAAGGAGATAAAGATGGGAAAGAAATGTACCTTTTGTCTTTCCTATTTTGTACCGTGTGTGTGTGTGTGTGTGTGTGTGTGTGTGTTCCTATTTTGTACTATATATGCCCACTTGAAGAAAGAAGTCAATGCTAGTGACTTGAATAAATGTCAGACTTCCCTCAGTGGGGTCTCAACCTGCTCAAATCTTTCCCCACCCTTGCTTTTCCACCTACTCACCTGCACCAGTTCAAGAGAACCCTGCATTTCTTACTGCCGGAAGAGCTTTGTGGCATTCCTTAATGCATATATTTGTTAGTAAGTTCTCATCCTTTTGGGAACAGTTCTGAAGCACAGCCAACAATTTTAAGGCAATTACCCAGGAGTCCAGGAGCCCACTCTGATAACCAGGACCTCTTCTCAGAAATAGGATCATTTCAAGTATCTTTGTGACTAGATTTTTTTGTTTCTTGAGATCAGAGACAAATAGACACCCTAAATGTCTTTGCACTCTTGGCATTGCAGACACCGCGTGTCCACTGCACCAGTAGGGTGGACGGGAGACTGGGTGTCGAAAGGACAAACAGTCTCTTCGTAGAGTTCTTTGCCTGAAAGCACTGTCACCAGCATAAGCTTCTCAAGGGTGTTCAGAAATGCTAGGGTGTCAGAGGCCTATTACAATAGCCACAAAGGCCAAGCAGGTAACATGAATATTTAGTTAGGATAGAAGAGTGATGGGTCATGGGACTGAATTGAAAAAAATGCCTGCCTTGACTGAAACTTTTCTAGATCCAGATTTGAGAGAGAAAAAACATGTTCAGGTAAAAGTCATACATCCAACCATAAGCAACGAGGCATTGGTAGCCACAGACAGAAATGACCACTAAGCCCGCTCTTGTGAGCATCCATCACCCTAAGCATGCAGGAGGCTCCCCTGGGTGGAGGCCCATGAGTGTGCTACATCAGTGTACCTTGAAGGAGGACCATGTTCACAGATGCTTGCCACCCACACACTGTAGGTCGCCTCTCTGCCCTGAATGGTGCCATTTAAAGATGCTGCCACCTTGGCTTTATAGCATTGGTCACAGCCAGCCCCTCTTGTAGCTTTGATCTCTGGTAACCCCTTGCTTGAAACATCAACGCTCTCCATTTCTAAGTCATAACCATGCCATACCCTCTAGACTCCTGTGTGTATCCTGGTCAGATGTGGAGTTAGAGGAGGTCTCTCTCCCAGCCACCCTCTCTCAAGGTTCCCTATGTACCAAAGAACCCAATATCCTGAGGATAAGCAACTGTACATTGTGGGAGAGGAAGCTGAACAAAGGTGGGTGTGGGAGTCAAAGGAAGTAAAGGAGATACATACATACATACATGCATGCATACATACATATGTTGAGCATGGCACCTATAGTCTCAGGGTCCATAACCTTTGCAGATGACCACACACACACACACACACACACACACACACACACACACTTCTACAGAATGAAGTTCCATTGGAACAACCTCTGTGGAACAGAGGCCTTTGTGATGCACTCTAGCGTCCTGATTCTATCCTCTGTGAGGCAGCCATGACAATGCCCAGTGCTGAGAGCCATTAGGTACTTAGGCCCCTGAATGACTAGGTGCAGAGATGACTGGTCCCCTCATGCTAATGAGGTTTAGGCCATGTTGAGCTCTGCTTGTTCTCTGTGGGACATCGGTTCTCCGTTATGTACCTATAGCTCCATCTTCATCATTTTTCTAATTGCCTGGCAAATAAGACGGAGTTACCAGGGATTGAGATTGGAACCTAAAAAGAGCTGCTGCCGGGTAGGAAAACACTGACTAACCTTGAACTACTTTGAGCCTAGATAAATAACTTTTATATCCTAAGTGCCTCTCCAGATTGCCCCCGTTTTATACCAAAGGACTTAGAAAAGAAACGAAGTAGTTACAGAGGACCTATAGACAATTCCTCACCAGGCCCTCCCTGGAATGTACTCCAGCTGGAAAGTCAATGGCCTCCCTATTAGTCTTGAGTTGAGAATTAGAGCGTAGAAAGACTACCACGCTGGATCTCAGAAGACCTCCCGAGTGGGGGGTTCTCTACTTGGAGGATTTGGTGAGCAGACGTCCTCACTCTGGCAGAAACATCTGTTCAGCTTTTCTCCCTGTGCCGGCCTCTTTACAGATGTCCTTAGAGTAGAGGCATGAGGAAACAGGATGGAGAGCCTTAAGTGATTCAGAAATAAGCAGAGAAGGGAAATGTTCAGGTGGAGTCTAGGTAAGGCAATGTACAGGAGCATATAGCATATAGGGAAATGTATATGGTCTTTCATTTTAGACGTGAAGAAGAAAATGGAGCCCTAACTTCACATTGTAATCTTTTTCTCTTTAAGCGCCACCGAAAAGTCAGGCAGAGGGCTAGAGATGCAGCATCAAGAGGTAAAGTCCCGGTGTCCCCTGCCCCCTGCCCCCTCCTGCCCCCTGCCCCCTCCTGCCCCCTGCCCCCTCCTGCCCCCTGCCCCCTCCTGCCCCCTGCTCCCGGGAGAGCTCTTTGAGTCCCACTGCCAAGAGCCAGGTATTCCAACTTCTGAAACTCTTTTCTACAACGTGTGGTTTACAGAGAAGATTGCTGTGGGTGGGAACGGAGAACATGGGGGTGCTCCAAAAGTTCTGCCTAATCCCCTTTAGGATAAACAATTAAGGAAGTGCTATAGATCACTGCACAGCAAGAGATCAGTTAGGGTTTCCTGCTGCTTCTCAGCACGGCTATGGCATACCTAGAGGAACACAGGATGAGTGGCCTGTGTTGGCCTCCAGCTTCAGAGTTGTCCATCACAGCAGGGAAGGCACAGTGGCTGAGTGGCTTACCTCATAGCAGCAAGAGCTTGCAGCATGGCCGGCTCACATCAGGGGACATGCAGAAGCAGAGTTCAGGCAGAATGGAAGTGAGCTGTAATCCTTAAAGGTCCACTCCTGTGGCCCTGCCACTTGCATCACATGTAGGCTCTCTCTAGGACGTCTGTGCCTGGCACGGCTAGCACTCCTTGTCCAGCTGTCCATATCTCTACTATCCTAGGGCATCCGGTATAACTTGGGCTTCACTTTCACAATTTCACCATATCTTTCATGCCACAATGGAACTGGGGGCCAAAATAATCTTCTCCTTGCCATTACTAATATCAGGTATTTTGTCATAGGAGAGAGAAAACCTGGTTAAGAACTACTTTTATGACCATGTAAAATTCAACCTTTTCAGTCATCTGCAAAATCAGCATAATACTGATGACCCTCATGTAGTTGCAAAGATAAAATGAAATTAGGCAAGGACATCAGATTTTAAATAGCAATGCAACATAAAACACATGCCTTAGAGTACCAAGTCTAGGACTTCAGATGTCTCTTGCTGAGCCAAAGGCCTTCCCATAGAACATCCCTAAAATGCTCATTCTCCACATAACACTGTGTCCTGATTCCTCAGACAGGAGACTTTCCCAAGAAGAAACCGAGAAGCCGTGGAAGCTGCTCTCTATCATGAAAAGGTGACCTCTTGACCTCTGTGGTCCAAACCATGATGATTTCTTGCCTGGGCTGGGCTGGGATGAGGAAAGGGGTGTCTGATGGAGAAATACACTGGAGCTGAGAGGCTGTCAGGGCAGAGGTGGTTCACACACACGTCAGGAGGGAAGAGCCACCCAGCACCCAATTCTCTGTTAGAGTCTCAGCAGCTCTGCAGTTCAGAACTGACTAGTGCACACTTCGTAAAGGACACTGCTGCTGTTGCACTCAGACACCAAACAAGAGAGTGGAGTTAGCATAAAGAAGTCACATGTCATACCTGCTTCCAGCTACTCCCCTTTAAGGGTAAAGCCCTGGGCCTGCCTGGACCCCACTGACATTGCCTCCTGTCTGGGGGCAGGGAAGCAGTTGCTGGGCCACCTTCAGCCCGTCATGTCCTCTACTTAATTCCTAGAGAATATGAATGATCCACAATGATTCCCTGGGTACAGTAGCAGGGGCATCCCATATTTTGAGTGGTTCTCACAGGGACCTCATTTGCCAGTGTAGGCTGAAAAGTGTGGGACTGGAGGAGAGGCCACAGCACTCCTCAGACAACATTCCTCCAAGGAGGGAGATGTCATTCCATCACTAACGGTGGCCATTTTTCTTTTTCTAGCCAAAGCTGGCTCCCCACGGAGGGAAATGTGCGGCAGCTCCTGTGTGTAGATCCCTGCTGCCAAATTTGTGATGCTGCAACTCTAGAGATTCAGCAGTTGCTGGAGAGCGATAAAGGCCAGATCTCCCCTGCTTTGCTGGGACTGCCACAGGAGTCTTCTTGCCTGGACTTGTTGCCCGTATCCAGTGTGCCGTTTGAGGGGAACATGGAGCTTCATTCCAGGCACTCCAGACATCTCTCACTAACACCTGGGACTCCAACACTAGCACAACTAACAGAACACTTAACACAGTCAACCAGTGCGGTTGGTGTTCAACAATGCTGGGCTGACCACCTCCAGCTAGAGCAGAAACTGCACCTGGCAGACATACCCATGATTTCAGAGACTGTGGTTTCTTCAGGGCTTGAGGATCCTGTGGTTTTAATGATTGAGGAAAAAATAATGCAAAACAAACCAAAGCTTGGCCAGGAAAGCCAAGACCAGCATCCCTTGAAGTCCTCTGTGTCTTTACTGTCCCTGAACCCGGAGATCACGAACTTGACACATGCGGTGTCCTTGCACATGGACTCGATGCTGTCTCCCCACGTGCCATTACTTAGTCCTAAAGTCCGCAGGCTTCTTGAACTACATGTAAAAAAATGGATACATTTCCAGAAGTGGGGCCTTCCCAGACGTGTGGAGGAGTCCCTGAGGCAGCTCATGCCAGACCTGACACTATTTTGTCAATCTAGAAAAAATCTGCTTTCTTCTGTTCTGAGCAATGGTTCTGAGGTCCCAATGAACAAAGCTGGCATCATTTCCCACCAGACCTGCTGGGTTTCCGAATGGTCTGTTAAAAACCTAAAACAAAGACCGCACTGGCACCAAATACACAGCTGCTTGCACTCTCACGAAGACCTAACTAGCTCCAGCCCATCCCCCAAGGCACAATCTAACGACTCCGGGAGCAGTCTGCAGAATGAATATTACAGTCAGCTGTTCTGTGGCCTTCCGTCTCTTCACAGTGAGTCCCTGGATGTCACCTCCTTGAGCGCTCAAGGTGTCTCCAAGAACAAGAGTGTGCCCAAGTCCTCCTCCAGGGATCCTCGGTACACAAAGGAGCTCTCGCTCTCCTTCTTGCCCAAAACTCCGCGTAAGTCAGCTCCTCCCTCTTCCCCGGCTTCTCCAGATGCCAAGACTCCCCATGAGCACGAAGGGGCACAACTCGCTGTCCCTTTCCTGACTCTGGCTGAGTGTGAAGCATTGGAGCGTCACCTCCTAGAGAGGCGGGTCAAGCTCCAGTGGGGCCTGCCAGGCGTCCTCCTGAGAAACCAGTACAGCCAGAGCCACGTGCTGTGTGAGCCACATGGGAAAGCTGAGGCTGTAAAAGCTTTCTGGCCAAGGAAGTTCTTCTCAGATCCCACCAGGAAACTGTCCTTCCCGGAGCACGTGCGCAGGCTGCTGGAATTCCACTTCCAGAAGCAGCTGATTCACCTTCGCTGGGGCCTGCCCCAGAGGATCCAGCGCTCCATTCACCTGCTCATCTCCTCTGCTGACCAGCAGGCCCTGTCCTGCAGCAGCAGCGGCGGCGGCAGGGCACTAGCCAGTGTGAGCATCCCGCAGCCAGGCAACCCAGAGGCCGATGGGTCGGGTGACAGGTTCGCATCCGCAGTGGACAAAGGGCCGATCCCCATGCCACACTTGTTTGCCCAGGCAAAGGAAATGTTGAAGAGCCACGTTGATTCTAAATGTGATCAGATCCACCAGGGCAAGGTCCCAGCCCAAGTCTGGAGCTCTCGGGAATGTAAAATTCCTGGAATCTTGGCAGCAACGGTTCCCTTCCCTTGGATTTCACAAGGCCAACACCTGAAGCTACAAGCACAAAGTAAAGGTAAACCTGGCCTACATCACCAAGTGGCTCCCTGGAAAGCTGCGGCCCTCGATCAGGAGAAGGTCCTTTCAGGTGCTCTCATTGAACACTGTAAGCGGCCCCAAGCCCTGTCTGAGGAGACCATTAAGAAACTGGAGACGACTTTACAGCATAAGTATCTGGCCTTCCTGTCAGGCCTTCCTGCCCTGTACTGTGTGGCTCTCTCTAGGCCTACATCTCCAGTAGTCACTATCCAACCTAGAACCACAGAGCTGATGTCCGTACCTGTCAAAAGCCCACCACGGACTGTGACGCAGACCATCTCGCTGGAAGGTCCGCTTGTGCCTTGTGCCCAGGGTGATGACAAAGCTCCTGCCAACACTACAGGAGAGTTACAGCCTGAAGTGCAGGTGGAAGGAAGGACAGACTGCCGGACCCATGACAGCCCCCACTTGTTAAACACACATATCTTGGCAAAACTGAATTTCCACCTGAAAAGGAAGGTCCTAGCGATTCAATTTGGAATATCTGAAAAGGAAAGGGAGTACAAAGAGCTGGCTATAGCTGACCTAGAGAGTGAATCCATACAGGAGTTTCTCAGGAGTCTCAGTATCCCAGAAAGCACCGCGCTACAGAAACTGCCCAGTTCAGGGGACCTTCCTGCAGCCCCAGATGCAAGTACCGTCCACCTGGGAAAACGGCCAGCCGCTGCAGGGCAGGCTGTGTGTCACAAGCCAAGGCAGCCTAGCTCCAAAGCAGTGCCCCAGCGCTCTGCCCCAGAGAATGCGACCAAGGCCCAAGTGCCCTGTGCTCAGATGGAGACCAGTGGGGAGAAGCTCAGCCTGGAGGAAGCCCTTAGCACTGAGCCTCAAGACCCAGGCAAGAGCAAGTACTCAGACCATGTCCCCACACTGACAGAAAAGAGCCACGAGCCAGGGAAGCCCAAGGCAGAGGGGGACTCTGGAGAAAGGGGTGCAGGTCTGCAGATTTCCCTGACCAGTGAGAGAACACACCGTGATGCAGACCAGGAGCCGGAAAAGGGGCCTGTGCGCGGGACACCCCAGGGCTCCTCACAGCACCGGCCTAGCTCTCATCTTGAGGGTCCCTGTCCACCCAGCTCCCAGGAGCCCCCTGAGCTGGAGTTCCCGGATCCACCTCCAGAAGTCTTCATGGAGATGGAACCTGAACGTGACACTCAAGACAGCCAAACCAGGACAAATGCCATCCGGCAACCTGCAAGGGTTGCTGTGGTCCCCCAGCCTTTGGCCTCCCAGGCTTCCCAGGGCCTTCCTTTCCCGCACCCACAAATTCAGGGAAAGCCTTTTCGAGGTCAAACTAGGCAAGACCACATTTCACGGGGGCGGGTGATGCCAACCTCTCCTCAGGCTAGCCCCAGCCTTCCAGATGCTGGCTTGAAAAATAAGGTGAAATCCTTTCTTTACTCCATTAACCCCAAGATAAAAGGCAAAACACATGTGGAACCCATGGTCTCAACACCTGCAACAGTGGCCAAAACCAGTAAAGAAAATGTTGACAAGGGTCTGCCTCAAGCCAAAAGCCCCACTAAGAAAACTAAGGCAGAGAGCTGCAGAGGGCCCAGGGCCCAGTCTGCACCCGCTGAGAGGTCAGTAATCGCATCCTTCTTAACTGCTCCCCATATTCTAGACAGTAAGCTCCAGCCGAACTCTCGGCAGCATGGCTCTGTCTCAGTATCAGGCCAGCCCCGACATTGTCCTCGGCACTGTCCTAGATTGGCTTATGCCACTCAATACAGAAACCCACCCTAGGTCCCAAGGTTCACCTCAGGAATGTTCTTCTGGTAATGGAGAACGCTCAATGTGATGACGGTTTCTAGGCTCCTCAACTTCTGTGTCCCTTTAAGAGCACTATTGTTGTCATTTAATGAACAGGGGGGGGGAGTGCACCACCCAAAATATATTCTATATCTCTAAATGAGCTGTCTGTCTTCTTTGTCTCTGCTGCATATTAAGGGAAGGTATGAAGGAAACTAAAATGTCTGCCCTCATCTCAGGAGATCTAAATTCACATTTCAGACAAGCCAGCTGGCCCTACCCCCTCCTAGAATAAATTAAAAGACTTGATCAGAAAGGAACGTTCTTCTGTAATATGCACTAAAGATGCACTAATATGCTTTAATTCCTTCACCAAACTCTTCACCTGTCCTTTTTTTACCTTTTTTTTAATTTTTCAGTTAAATTTAGATAAGGAACAAGGTTGCTTCACAAGTCAGTTCCAGGTCTCTCTCCCTTTCCCTCCCCTCCTCCCGTGCCCTCCCCCCAACCCCCCATTATCCCCTCATTTCCCCAGGGAGGGTGAGGCCCTCCGTGGGGGTGTCCATAGTCTGTCATTTCATATAGGGCAGGGCCTAGACCCTCCCCCCAAGAGTTCAGGGTGAGAGTGCACCTCACATTGTTGGATGGGAGTCCAAAGTCTGTGTGTATACTCGGGATAGGTACTGATCTGCTGCCCAAGGCTCAATAGATTACCTAGGCCTCCTCACTGACACCCACATTCAGGGGGTCTTGATCAGTCCCATGCTGGATTCCCAGGCATCAGCCTGGGATTCAAGAGTCAACCCTTGTCAGGTCAGCTGTTTCTGGGGGTTAAACCAGCCCAGTCTTAAACCCTTTGGTCATCAGTCCTCCCTCTCTGTTACTGGCTTTCTTGAGTTCAGCTCAGTACTTAACCGAGGGAGTCTTCGAAGAAGAGGCAGACTCTTCACCTGTCTTATTTCTCCAGTCAAAGGTAAGGAGATAAAGAAAAGATTCTGAGATGTTCTTGATCTAAAAAGACCAAAGGCTGGAATGAAAAGGAAGGGAAATTAATTAGCAACAAATTAGAGACACAATAAAAAGATTGTTCATGTTTATGAACCTTTACTTAAATCCCAACACCACCAGGGTTACTGAGCTGTATTTATTTACGCATGAACAACCCAAACGGTTAGTCCAACCAATCCGGAAGAACCCAGTTGCCCAGTAGAAACTAGTTGTACATGCCTTTAATTGTAGTACTCTGGAGGCAGAGACAGGAGGAGCTCTGTGAGTCTGAGCCCAGCCAGGGCTACACAGTGAGACCCTGTCTCAAACAACAGGTTCCCAGAGACCACCCTCCTTTCCCAAAATGTTGCCTTTGCCCATTATTTTTCCCCTCTCATCTCTGGCCATAACAGGGTGCAATTCTTCCCTCAAACTTTATAAAAATGTACTTAGTTCCTGCAATGACTATTTTCCAACTGTCACCTACCCTAGTTGCTGCTGAAGGCTATGAAAACTTGCCCCAGGAATCAATTCCTTCTGGCTAGTATCTAATGGCTCCATGAAATCTTTTATTTCAGATATTCCTTCATTTCTAGTTTTGGATGACAATTGCTAGTGCATAATGATGCATTAATAATAGTTGCATCCAAGCCGGACGTTGGTGTCGCACTTCTTTAATCCCAGTACTCTGGAGGCAGAGGCAGGCAGATCCCTGTGAGTTCCAGGTCAGCCTGGTCTACAGAATGAGTTCCAGGACAGCCTCCAAAACAATACAGGGAAACCCTGTCTCAAAAAAAACAAAAGAAAAAAAGGTTGCATCCATAGTCTATTTACAGCATCATGATACCTTCATTGATGCCACAGATAAACAACAGAATTTCACAACTCATGCAGTAGTCATTTTTACATAACCAAATTGTCTACTCAACATATCCACCCCCAACTATGCAGAAATAAACTCACAAATCTGCCCCCATCACACCTGTAGCAACTGCTCCAGGCAGTGTCTCTCATAGAAGTTTAACGGCAGACCCTTCTTTCCAGGAGTTAGGCCATACACCATGATGCCATCCTTGGCTTTTTTTAATCTAAGAGTTCACATCCAGCTCACCAGCCAATCCTGTTGTCTACCATCAAAAGAGCATGCAGACTCAGGTCTATTGTCACGCCCTCTGCTGTTATCCTCACCACAGTAATGTGCACAGAAACCATTATAGTGCAATCCCAAGTACACAAACACGAGCCTGAAAAAGCTGTTAATACTATTTCAGTTTGGAGGCCATCAGCTTGGCATTTCCCTAAACTTGGCATTCTAGGGGACTTAGGGCCATAAACACATTCTACAGAAAAAGAATCTAGTAATTAGATGCATCACAGATCAACAGGTCTTATATAAACTAAGTTTTTACCTTTAACATGGAATTTAAAATCTCCGACACAGAAGAACCTATAATTAGATGATTTTTGTCTCTGGTGGGTCTTCAAAGATCAGTTTTAAACATAAGTTTAGGAAAGACTAGTAATGATCATAGTAGATTTATCTGATACACAGGTTCATCTAATACACACTGTGGCAAAAATGGTAAGTAAAGCAAGCAGATAAAGACCAGATTTCAGGGCTGGAGAGATGGAGCAGTAGTTAAAAGCACTGACTGGTTTTCTAGAGGACCTAGGTTCAAATCCCAGCACCTATATGGTGGCTAACAACCACCTGTAACTCCAGTTTTAGTGGATCTGATGCCCTTTTCTGACCTCCAGGGGCACAGGCATGTACATGGTGCACAGCCATACAAATACACACAAAACATGCATACATATAAAATAATGAATCTCAAAAAATTTCAAAAAAATCTCTTCTAATTTTTTTTAAGTGGGAAAGCAAGGTTTTAACCAGACAAAGCAAGATTTCCTGAATAATGTGTATTTTTTCTGAATGATACCAAACACAAATAGCAGTAAGGCTAAAAGTTTTATTGATGGCTTTATGTTTAAGCTCTAGATGCCATACATAGTATACAAAATAGAGAACGTACTGATTTCTCTGCGTAGTCCAACCTTTTGTGCAGACTTTTGCATAACATTTGGGTGAAGCTCAGCACACAGCATATTAAGTCTGAAGATGTATGAATATAACCAGATACTAGATATAAGGATATAAGATATCCTGGATATAAGATATAATATAATAACCTAATAGGTATTTATTTAACCAGAGCTAGAAAGTGATCATTTGAAACAGATAAACATTCTTTTGAGACAATAAATAAAACAAACATCTTTATTGGCTTAGCAACCAAGGTGGAGACGTATCCATTTTAAAGACATCTTTTTTATCTTTCCAATAAATTTAAGTTAGCATAATGTCAAAGATTTACCTAAATAATGTGAACCAAATGGCATTTAGGGCTGATTTGGGGGGCAGGTTTGAGACAGAGTTTCTCTGTGTAGTCTTGTGGTTCTGGAACTCCCTCTGTAGACCAAGCTGGCCTCAAACTCACAGAGATTCACCTGCCTGTGTCTCCTGAGTGCTGGGATTAAAGGTGTGTGTCATCACCACCCACTTAGGGCTGATTTTTTAAAGTTTTTTGTGTATGTGTGTTTGCCTGCGTATATGTATATGTACCATGTGAGTGCCTGGTTCCCACAGAGGCTCTAAGAGGATCCCCTGGAACTGGAGTCATAGTCAATTGTGAGCTGCCATGTGGTTGCTGGGAACTGAACCCAGGTCCTCTAAGAACTGTGACCAGTGCTCTTAACCACTGAGCCATCTCTCCAGCTCCCATTTAGTTCTGATTTAATTGTTTTAACTTATTATCTATAATACAATTAGTAAAATGTAAATGTATAAACACAAGCTTATATGTAGATATAACAAACAAAACACACATGTATACAGCCATTCATAAAATAGCTGACAAAATCCAAAAATTGGATTGCTTTCACATAGATACACCATTTTGTCCATTTTTCTTTCTTTTTATTCTCTCTCTCTCTCTCTCTCTCTCTCTCTCTCTCTCTCTCTCTCTCTCTCTCTCTCTCTCTGGTTTCACTGTGCAGTTCTATCTGTCCTGAAACTCACTCTATAGACCAGGTTGGCCTCGAACTCACAGAGATTCTCTTGGCTCTGCCTCCTGAGTGCTGGGAATAAAGGCATTAAACCACCACACCCAGCGGTTAAATCTGCACTGCTAAATATAATGTCAGTAGAAATTTACTATTTAGCTCAGAGATACTGAGCTTAATCTAGACATCATTAAGAAAGGCTTGGATTAAAAACTCAGTGGAAATCAAAGGTCAGAGAGTGTTGTACAGCTTTGAGTGGGAATTGGCCCTGCTTCAAGAGTCAATAAGCAGGCAATGCCCTTTCAAATGGAAATGGCTTTTGGTGTGAATTTTTAAATGCCTAACTAAAATGTCAGGTAAAGATACTTTAGAGATCTGTCTAGGTAAATGTAAATGCTTGATGTAATTCATTTTCTTTTTTAATTTATTTTTATTTTATGAGCATTAATTGGTGTTTTGCCTACATGTATGTCTGTGTGAAGGGGTTGTATCCCCTGGAACTGGTGTTAAAGACAGGTATGAGCTGCCATGTGAGTCTCGGAATTGAACCCAGGTCCTCTGAAAGAACAGCAAATGTTCTTAACCCCCGAGCCATCTCTCCAGTCCCATAGCTCATTTTCTAATCAGATTTAGCCCTTCAAGGAGGAGGCCCAGAGACCTTCAATGTTCACCCTACTCAAGAGCGCCTCTCTGGGTGTCCTGCAGGTTTCCTACCTGTTTTATCAGGTCAGAGCCAGGAGGAAACCCTACTGAATGTGACAGCCTAGCAGCTCGGGTGTGTCCAAGCAAAGAGACTTCCCCCTAAAGAATCTCTCCAGCCCAAGCATCAGCCATGGGCCTGTATGTCAGTCACAGAGGCCCCACTCATGGACACCTTTCTGTCCCCTTATTCCAGAATGGGATTGACGAGTCCTGGTCATCCTTAGGACAAGGGAAAAAACAGGAAAGAAAACTCTTAGATGAAAGTAAACACTAAAGATAAGACAGGCTGTGTAAATAAACAGGGTAACAGGATGTATAGGCTACCAAATCCTGATTCTGATGCCAGAAAAAATCCAGGAAGGTCCTCATCTGAGGCCAGAAAGATTCCAGAAAGGCCCTCGAGGAACA